CAGCACGCAAGCTCCCAGTGCGTGAGCCCGGAGCTGGCAGAAGGGCAGACGTGCGGTTGTCCCAGAGCCTGCCCAGAGCAGCAAGAGAAAGAACCAGGCTGTCCAAAGACAGGGTGGGAACACATTATGTGTCAGTAACAGCCCCCCACGCCCTTCCCTGAGCCCCGTCCACCTAGGCTTGCATGCATGCCAGCGTGCCAGCACCACAAAACTGATCTCATTGACCTCACTCAGCGGAAACCTGTAGCTACATTTTATAGGATTGTTCTAAGAAAAACAAATACGTAGTTTAGCTGTCAATTTGCTCAAAAAATTTACAACTGCTACATAATCCTTAGGAAAGGCCTCCTCTCCTGCCTCTCTTTCTATTCAGTTACATGGTAAAGAATCTACACAATTTCGACAAAGGCCAAGTTCTGGGTTTGATTTTCTTTGGAGCAATGAGGACTCTGAGAAACCATGCCCTCCACAGCCACTGCCCTAAATATTCTTCCCGTACATGAAGCCACCAGGGCTCCTGTGCTCCTCGGGGACCTACAGCTCCCGACTGCATCTGCAGGGGGCAGGTGAGCTCAGGTCAGGGACAGGCTCTGGGGACACCCGTGCATAAGCCAAGACCAGCCACTTGGAGGCTGTGCCAAAGCAGTTACTTCACCCATGAAGTCTGAGTCTTCTCCTCAGTAAATGAACAGTTCCAGGTAGAGCATCCTCAACCTGAAAATACAAAATGCTCCAAAACATGATAATTTTTATGTCAACATGACACCCCAAGTGAAAAATTCTACATCCCTTGTTTCATGTACCAAGTTATTTAAAATACTGTATAAAATTACCTTTGGGTTAGGTACATAAAGTATATATAAAACATAAATGAATTTTGGGTTTAAACTTAAGTCTTGTCCATGAGATATCTCGTTATGCGTATGCAAATAGTCCAAAATCAGAAAAGCTCCAAAACCCACTGGTTCTAAACATTTCAAATGAAGGGAATGCAACCTGCAGTAGCTGCCTGCGATAGGGATACCAAGCTCCAAGCAGAGACAGGACTGCAGCCCTGGGAGCCACAGTTTGCAAAGATAATCCTGGCTCCTAAAGAACACTCAGGATGACTGGCCATGTACAGGCAGCAAGTGACATTATGACAGATCTACAGCTTATCTGAGAGCTCTACAATGACTTGCCTTTGCCCTGACAAAGAAAAAGTCACAGACCTGAGGCTATACTAACACCTGCCAGAGCAAATATATTATGCAAGAATATTGGACAGTCAGATTTCACACAAAATGAAAAGATAATGTGCTCCAGCCATCACATACATATTGCTGTTTTTAAAATAAGTATCAGTAGCAACCCCAAAGGGAAATGAGAAGGAACAATCTGATACTCAACCAGCTGGACTCCCTGAACTGGCAACAAAAAAGGATCTGGAAGAAATGAAATCAGAAATAATTTCTCACATAACAGCAGAGATTGTGCCCATAGTGCAAGGCATAATTAATAAATCTAGAGAGGACACAGATAAAAAAATAGAGGAGCTGAGGAACGTGATGGAATCCCAACATAGGAAACAAATGGAATCCAGAAAACAGATGCAAACAGATTTCCAGGAGATTAAAAATTTCATTGAAAGCTTACACGGCAAAATGAGCCAGTGTGAGGACAGAATGTCAGATATAGAAGAAAGATTGCAATTAGTGACCAAGAAAAGAAAAATTTCTTTAAAATT